CCATGAGTAAGTACATTTCTTGTCAACCTTGTTACCTCTTCCCTCAGTTTTCTCTGACTTTCCCTCCCTTATTTTTTTTTTGTTTTTTGTTTTTGTTTTGCTGTTGTTGTTTTGTTTGTTTTAGAGTTCTCTTTTGTGCTAATCCTGGGCTTGAACTCAGGGCCTAGGCACTATCCTTGAGCCATCTTTTCTCAAGGCTAGTGCTCTACCACTTTGAGCCACAGCGCCACTTCAGGTTTTCTGGATTTCTCACAGATTTTTCTGCCTGAGATGACTTCAAACTGGCATCCTCAGATCTTAGCCTCCTATGTAGCTAGGATTACAGGACAGTGCTAGTAGCACCTAGAGAGTTTTACTAAGTTTTAAAAACAGCTTTGGTGGAGGGGGTAACAATGCTCAATAAGAAGTGTACTCATTACCTTGCTCATGTAACTGTAACCCTCTGTGTAGTATCTTTACAATAAAAAATTTAAAAAAAAAAAAAAAACAGCTTTGGAAGCTAGATACTTGTGGCTCCTGCCTGTAATCCTAGCTACTCAAGAGGCTGAGATCTGAGGATCATGGTTCAAAGCCAGCCAGGGCAGGAAAAGTCTGTGACAGTCTTATCTCCAATGAACCACAAGAAAACCAGAAATGGCGCTATGGCTCAAAGTGGTAGAGTGCTAGCCTTGAGCTAAAAAGCTCAGGGACAGTGCCCAGGACCTGAGTTCAAGGCCCAGGACTGGTGCACAGGCATATGCATATGCACGTGCAAACACACACCCACACACACACACACACACCAACTTTTTTTTCATTTTTTAAATTATCTTTAGGTAGTTTTACAAAGAAGTTCCCATTCTACAAAGCAGTATATGAGTACACAGTGTCTGACAACATTGTTACCCATCTCTCCTAACCCATCCCTTCTCTCACTTCCACAGAGAATAACTTTGATGTGCAAACAAAACCAAAAACAAACATATCCAGGACTTCAGATACACACCATGTCCTTATATAAAATATGTCTTCCTCCCTGTGGACACCTGCCTCTTTGCTTCTTGTAGATGTTAGATCACTTGTAGATCACCATTTAGCATGAAACAATAGAAATACTCAGCAAAGAGTTGTTAGACCATGCCATTTAAGTAAAAAAGAAAAAAAAACCTGTGTGTAATTTCCTCAAATATATATATTTATTTACATAGAATATACATTAAATCTGAGATTGGTTTCATCCATGGAACCTGGGCACTCTCTCTGAACCTGGACTTTTTTTTTTTGTCAGTCATGGGGCTTAAATTCTGGGCCTGGGCGCTGTCCCTCAGCTCTTCAGCTCAAGGCTAGCGCTCTACCACTTGAGCCACAGTGCCACTTCTGGCTTTTTCTGCTTATGTGGTGCTGAGGAATGGAACCCAGGGCCTCAAGCATGCCAGACAAGCACTCTACCACTGAGCCACCTTCCCGGCCCTGGACTCTTCCTTTCTTTCTTCCTTCCTTCCTTCCTTCCTTCCTTCCTTCCTTTCTCTTTCTTCTTTCTCTATCTCTCTGTTTCTGTCTCCGTCTCTCTGTCTCTCTCTTTCTCTTATGTACTGCACTCAGGGCCTGGGCACCGTCCTTTAGCAATTTTCACTTAAGCACTCTATCATTTGAACCACATCTCCACTTCCGATTTCTTCTGGTTCATTGGAGGTAAGCATCTCACGGACTTTCCTGCCCAGGATGTCTGTGAACTATAATCCTCAGATTTCCACCTCCTGAGTCGCTGGGATTACAGACGTGAGCCACTCACTGGTGCTCAGCCAAGATTCACATTTCTTTAGTTTAAGACCTCATCCCCAAAGCAAATTGTTAGCCCAGAAGCCTCCTCTCTCATAGTTGAGCAGGCTTTTCCCCTAGGCAACACTAGGCCCATGTAGTCAGTAAATGATTAGCCCCAACCCCCTTTTCCTGGGAATAGCTATAATAGTATAAGGGATAGCTTATAATAGTATAAGGTGGCAAGATCCCCTAAACTTCATTGGTCATATGGGTCACCTGAGAGGGCACTTCTTTGGGGGCAGCTATGACCATATAAGGCAGCAAGATTCCCCAAGTCTTGGAGGTTATACAGGTCACCTGCAGCAATAGCCGGCACTTCTTCTCACTCCTCTCTTGTGGGAAGGGGTCTTGCCGGTCCCTTTACCTGCAATAAAGCTTTTCTTTGTTCTTTGTACCTGGATGTCTGCATGGTTTTCTGACAAAGTCTAAAATACTCTAACACAAATACAGTGACAACAGGGGATAAACCATGGGGTGGGGGGAGACACAAAAGAAAAAAGAAATCAGTACATTAAAAACAAGAACAACAAAGAAAATCCTCTTTTTTCCATATCTTGGAGTTCATTTCGCATAGCATCAACGGATGTGGTCATATTTACATATCAATGAGCTCTTCTGATCATCTGCTAGGCCTATCCTAGACATATATTAATTATTACAAAAATTACAAATTTATATACATAAATTATTACAAAGTATTACCATGGAGCTATGTTTCTTGGGTCTGGCTTACTTCACATAATAATAGTTTCCCCCCCCCCACAGGTCTTTCCATTTCCTTACAAACGGGGTGATATCATTCTTATGGGAATGAGGGCAGGGAAGAGGAACAACAAAATGGGGAGACAAAGGACAAAGTGCAAACCAGTACCTCAGCCATACTCACAAGACATTATGTTAGAAATGTACTGTACAATGCGGGAGGGGGGTTGGGAGGGAGGGAAGGTGGGAGAAAAATGAGGGAGGGGTAACGAGTTTGACAAGAAATGTACTCATTACCTTATGTTTGTAACTGTAACCCCTCTGTGCATCACCTTGACAATAAAATCAAATAAAAAAAGACCTCATCCCTGCAGCTGGCACAGGGTTAGGCTGGCCCTTTCCCTGCCCTGGCTGGAACTGAGGGCTGGGTGGTCTTGCAGACTGGAAATCCCCCCTCCAACCTCTTCGGGCCTCTGGACTGGCTATGCAGTCATGTCTCTTGATTTTCAAACAAACAGCACATCCCTCAGGGAAGCACCAGAGGCTAAGGAATTCCCCTCCTCCTTCCCCCTCCCTCCCTCCTCCCAGTGCTACCCCCCATACCTCTCCCCCCATATCATCCAGCCCCTTCTCTTTCACTTCCTGGACATCGGGACAGGCCCTGGCCTCTCCAAGCTGGCCTCTCCTAGGTCTCGGTGCCCAAACTCCATCTTGTCCCATCCCTTGGCTCCTAGTCACAAATCTCCCAGCCAACACAGAGGCCAGAAAGAAAGTCTTTCTCAACATTATGCTTCAGGGCTCCAATGCAACCAGGAAATGGGGTGGCTTGATTGGGAGGGGGTAGGAGAAATAGAGGAAGTCGGTAGAGTGCCCCAAAGAGATTCAGTTTCAAAAGCTGGCCCCTGGTTTTGGAAACCAACTAGTTTTTTTTTTGCATCCTCCCTCCTCCTCTTCCTCCTCCCCTTCTTGCTCCTCTCCCCAGCTCCTCTGCCAGATAAAGGCTGTTATAATCTGAACAGAGAGAATGGGGAGCAGAGAAGGGAGGGAAGGAGAGACTAGGTCTGTTCCTGGGCTCCCAGCCTCCCTCTAGCCCAGGCTCAGCCAGGAAAAGGGTGTGATTTACAGGAAATCCCTTCAGAGTCCATTTAACCCCTTACAGTGGGGAGGGTATGGGGGAAGGAGGGATGTTGGGAAATCACCTGTCCAGGAATAGGGAGCCATTGCCTGTATTCGCACCAGGCCCAGTTAACCATTGCCTGCTGTAGCTGAGGATCACAGAAAAGCAAATATACATAGAGTCTAAGTCTCAGTCGTCACCTCTGACCCTGGCAAAAACCCAAGGTAAGCCAGGCCAGTGTGGGCCTGCTTGCCGGACAATAGTTCCTGCAAGGTAGCCAGTGTGCTGGTTACCAGCCGGCCCAGGGACAGGAATCTAGCACTGGCTAGTTAAGATTGCTGCTGCCTCTGAAGGTGCATGGAGTCAGGTTCTTTTGCTGACATAACGATCAATTTTGGTGGAGGAAACTGAGGCTGAGAGATTATTGGGGGCTTTACCCGTGATCCCAGACTGTCCATAGCTGAGCCAGTCCACCTTCACATGGTAGAATAGGTATCTCTGAGGCAAATTGTTTACGATAAAGTAAACTACAAGCCAGGAAGAATAGACTATCTTGGTGAATGCTTGTTTGCTGGCCTGGATGGTGAACTCCAATGCATACGTCAAAGCCAACACAATATGTCCCCTCTTCCAAGAAGCTTTCCCTGATTATCCAAGCAATCAATGAGCAGAGTGTAATGGTCAGGAAGTACCACAGGCCCCAGATACTGGAGAGGCTGAGGCAGGAGGATGGCTTGAATTTAGGAGTTTGGGATGAGCCTGGATAACAGAACAAGAATCTTCTTTCTCGGGGCTGGGAAGGTGGCTCAGTGGTAGAGTGCTTGCCTTGCATGCATGAGGCCCTGGATTCAATTCCTCAGCATCACAAGCAGAAAAAGCCAGAAGTGGCGCTGTGGCTCAAGTGGTAGAGGGCTAGCCTTGAGCTGAAGAGCTTGGCAGCGCCCAGGCCCAGAGTTCAAGCCCCAAGACCGACAAAAACAAACAAACAAACAAAAAACAAAATCACAAAACTTTTCTCTATAAAATAAATAACTAAATACACCGCCCAAAGTTACAGGGAAGATTTGGCCCTGCTGCCTGGAGAAGGGGGGATCTCTGGATAGCAGTGTCTGCTACTAAACTTGGGGAAATTTGTTCACCATCTGGCCTTGACTTTGACCCGGAGAAAGAACAGGAGAAAGAACAGGACAGGGGCGGGGAAAGAGCCTGGGTCACTCACCCCACTAACAGGTTGGCCCTAGGGCTTCAAATAGTTAGGAAACTGTATTGAGAAATCACGGGCAGCCCCAGCAGGGGCAGGGCCTCCAGATGGGAGGAGGAAGGCTGAGTAGGGGAGAGGCCAGGACCAGATAAGAGGCCAGCCTCCCCAGCCTCACTCATTCCTGCCCACCCTCTCCCTCTGTCCTCCATCCCTCTGCCCCTCTGCCACCCCTGCACCCCGCATCATGGGGCCGGCCACAGGCCCCCACCTGCTGCTCTTGCTGTTAACCAGCTTCCCCCTGGCCCTGGGGGACCCCCTGTGAGTTGTCAGCTTTAGGGGTGGCACCTTAGGGACCTGGTCCTTGGGCTGATGAAGGTTGGGGGTGGGTGAGTCTTCGGAGGTTATACTTACAGGACTGGTTTGGATATGTAGGATTTGCTCTAGGATTTGGGGTGTAGATATTTGAGTGTTTGTGGGGTTTGCATGTATACTTTGGGGGTGTCTGAGCGTTTGGGGGTTCCGCTGATTCTGGGGGTGGTGGTCTGGGAGTCTGGAGACGTGGGGTGGAGGGGCTGCTTGCTGGTTTGGGGGGGCGCAGTGGGCTCAGCTGCCGGAAGGAGCCGCTCCCCCCCCATGGCCCCAGGGGGGAGAGCTCTGTGCGGGCATGCACACCGGCAGCCTCCCCCCCCCGCAGGGCCCCCGCCCACCGCCATCTGGGGGGAGCCCCCCTCCCCGCTCCTGGACAGGGAGCAAAGCTGGGGGGAGGGGGTGCAGAGGGGCCTCCGGCCCGGTGCCAGCTGCGCCTGCGCCTCGCCTGCCACAGGTACTCGCTGATCTGCCCCAACGTCCTGCGGCTGGAGAACGAGGAGACCGTGGTGCTGGAGGCGCACGACGTGCAGGGCGACCTGCCTGTCACCGTCACCGTCCACGACTTCCCCGCCAAGAAGCAAGTGCTGTCCAGTGAGAAGACTGTGCTCACCGCGGCCGCCGGCCACCTGGGCAGCGTCACCATCAAGGTGGGCGCAGCCGGAGCCTGTGCCGCCCCCCCCCCGCCCCCCCCCCCCCCGCCCTGGGTCGGCCACGGCCCCAGGCCCAGCAACCCGCCCCTTCCCAGACCCGAGCCCCGCCCCCTGCAAGCCACACCCACCTCAGCCTCCTCTAAGGCCCTCCCCTCTGTCTCCACCCCTTCTGGGCCCCGCCTTTCTCCAAGTCCCGCCCCTTTTCTCTTCCAAATCCCTCCCCTCTGTCTCCACCCCTTCTGGGCTCCTCCTTTCTCTTATCCCCGCCCCTTCATAAGCTCCACCCACCTCCTCTAAGTCCCTCCCTCTGCTTCCCTATGGGCCTTTCCTCTCTAAGCTCCGCCTCTTTGAAGTCCCCTCTTTCCCTTCCTCCCCCCCTCCCCTGCACCCCATTCTTCCCTCTAAGCCCCTCACCCTGAGGGCGGGCCCTGGAGCTAGCCCTCACCATCGCTTATCCATGGTTAGATCCCGGCCAGCAAGGAGCTCAGGTCCAACAAGGGACACCAGTTCGTGACTGTGCAGGCCAACTTCGGGGCCACGCAGGTGGAGAAGGAGGTGCTGGTCAGCCTTCAGAGCGGGTACCTCTTCATCCAGACCGACAAGACCATCTACACCCCGGGCTCCACAGGTGAGGGCTGTGGGTGACCAGAGAAGCCGGTGGGGGTGCCAGGCTGGGGCTCCCCAGGGGCTCACCAGGCTCTTCTGTCCCCACCTCTTCCAGTCCTCTACCGTATCTTCACCGTGGACCACAAGCTGCTGCCAGTTGGCCAGACCGTTGTCATCACCATTGAGGTACATCCAGCTGGGACCCCGAGGCACAGAAGGAGGCCCTGGAAAGAGGGTTCCCAGGGGCGCACACAAAAGGAGAAGCCTGGGCCCAGTAGAGACCTAGGTAGCACCCGGGGGCAGGTCATGCACCCCTGGATCTTGATTTTGGATAAGTCTCTGGACACTTCACCTCCTTGGGCCTCAGTTTCTTCTTCTGGAGATAAGGATGATGGCAGATGGTAAATCTCAGTGGTATGATCAGTCTACAGCAGCCAGAGAGCTCTCATGATCACCTGTCCAGTTCCTCCCCCCTCCCCCCACCCACAGCCCTCTGTGGCTCCCACCTTCCTCCCGGGCAGAGCCTAAGCTCTCCAAAACTGCACAACCTTCCCATCCTCTCCCTGTGTCTCTTCTCCATCTCTCTCCCTCTTCACGGCTCTTCCAACATACCAGGCTCTATCCTGCCCCAGGGCCTTTGTATGGGTTGTGCTCTCTATTCAGAAAACCCTTTTCCTCCAAAATATCCACACAGCATGGCCCCTCCCCTCCTGCAAGTCCCTGCTCAATGTCATCAAAATCTCAGTTATATGGTGAGGCTTCCCTGAAAGTTACAAATCCTCAACACACACACACACACACACACACACACACACACACACACACACAAAATGTAAGGACAAAGGGAGACAAAGGAGAGGAACTGTAGAACTGTCTAGTGGGCTTATTAAAGCCAGGCAAAGGCAGGCAGGTGACATGTCTGACGGCCCCTGCCTAGCTTTAAGGTGACTGGAAGGAAAAGAGACCACAACACCTCCTCATAAGAGGCTCAATGCTGTCAGATCCACACGAGCGTATTTATTCACCAAATTCATTCAGGCTTTTACGTGATCAAGAATTCCAGTGTGAGTCTCAGTCTAATGAAATATTCAACCCAGGGTCTGGTAGTGATTAACTCTATCCAGAGAGACAGCGATACAAATGAGCTTCGGCCCAGGCCAGTGAGGCAGGAGCTATTATCTTGTGTGTCTACACATAGGATGGGCTGCCCAGAAAGGTTAAGTAACTTGTCCAAAGGTCACACAGCATCTCAGTGACACCACAGAGATTTGAACCCAGGGATCTGTCTCTGGACCCTGTTCTTAGTTGTTGTCTCTGCAGACAGGGAGGAGAGAGACAGATGAAGGAGACAAGTGCAGGGGGCTGGAGCTTCCCAAGATCTACATGATCCCACATCTCTTTCTGTCTGCTTTCAGACTCCTGAAGGCGTCCAGATCAAGAGAGACGCACGGTCTTCTCTAAACCAGCATGGCATCTTATCCCTGTCCTGGAAAATCCCAGAGCTAGTCAAGTATGTCAGGCTCTCCCTGCAGAAGGGAGCTTGGGGCCCACCCCACCCCCAGGAGAGGGAGATGGGGGTCCTCCATACAGAGTGAGTGTACACTCACTCTCCTGCCTTACCTTCCCCCTCAGTATGGGACAATGGAAGATCAAGGCTTACTATGAGCACACCCCACAGCAGGTCTTCTCGGCCACGTTCGAGGTGAAGGAGTATGGTAAGAGGGGTCCCTGGGTGGTGGAGCCCTAGGGCTGATGCTGCCAACCCTAGCCAACATGATTTCTCTCCTCCCACACACACCCAGTGCTGCCCAGTTTTGAGGTCCTGGTGGAGCCTGCAGAGAAATTCTACTACATTGATGACCCCAATGGCCTGGAAGTCACCATTACTGCCAGGTGAGGGGCACAGGCTGGAGCTAGGGACTCTGGGTTATCAGCCATGGCCGGAAGGAGGAGCTGAAGTCTCTCTGCTTTCTAGGTTCTTGTATGGGAAGAATGTGGAAGGAGCGGCCTTTGTCATCTTTGGGGTCCAGGATGGAGACCAGAAGATTTCCTTGGCCCATTCCCTCACTCGTGTTCTGGTACCTGATAGGGGGACCCTCATCTCGAGCCCCTCCAAGCCCCTCCCAACCAGAGGCCCCAGATCCATATCTATCCACAAGCCTGTTCCCTTTAAGCCCTGCCCCTTCTGAACCACACTCACTACAAGCCCCTCCCTTGTAAATAGATCCACGCCCATCATCAAACCTCCAAGTGCTTACTTTCTCCTCGAAGCCACGCCCACCCACGAAGCCCCTCCCTTTCAAGTCCCTCCTCTCTGTAGCCACGCCCACATACAAGCCCCTCCCTTTCAGAGTCCCTAGCTTTATGTTTAAATTTTAATTATTGCTGGTGTGTGTGTCTGTGTGTCTGTGTGTGCGTGCCACTCCTGGGACTTAAACAAGGGCCTGGACGCTGTTCCTTAGCTTTTCTGCTAAAGGCTGGGGCTCTACCACTTGGGTCACAGCTCCACTTCCAGTTGATTAACTGGACAGCTACCGGAGCTAAGAATCTCACAGACTTTCCTGCCCAGGGTGACTTCAAACCACAATCCTCAGATTTCAGTCTCCTGTGTAGCTAGGATGATAGGTTTGAGCCTCTGGTGCCCTGCTTATTCCTTCCTTCCCTCTCTCCTCCCCCCCCTTATCTTTAGTTGTACAAATGGGTTGCCATTCAACGCCTCAGTTTCTATGGATGTCACCCCTGCCATCATTCTCCCCCTCCCTTCCCAGCCCTCCCCTCAATTTGCCTAGTTTCATAGCACATACACTGGATTCATTCTTCCCTTCCTCTCTTCATTCCTCTGTCCCCCCTCCCTGGGCCCTCCCCCATCTCCTACCCCTCTCCTTCAAACTCCCTCTGGATTCCTTCTCTCCTGAGCCACACCCCTTGTCTCCCCCAGATCGAGGATGGTGTTGGGGAAGCTGTGCTGAGCCGGAAGGTGCTGCTGGATGGGGTGGAGCCATCCAGTGCAGAAGCCCTGGTGGGAAAGTCCTTGTATGTGTCTGTCACGGTCATCCTGCACTCAGGTGAGGCCTGGCCAGAGGGAAGGGGCACTGCAGTCTGAGGGAGGAGCCCCTCTGAAGTGGGGCGTGTGTGTGGACCCCAATCTGAGAGCTGGTCCTTACGGGTACCTCCCAGGCAGCGACATGGTGGAGGCCGAGTATGACGGAATCCCCATCGTGACCTCCCCGTACCAAATCCACTTCACCAAGACGCCTAAGTACTTCAAGCCAGCCATGCCTTTCGACCTCATGGTGAGACCCAGAGTGGTTCTACTTACCCCCCTCCCTCCTCCCCCCAGCACTGGCCACGCCTCCAAGCCCACCTGACCTTCATCCACCGGCCCCTGCCTCCACAGGTGTTTGTGACAAACCCCGACGGCTCCCCAGCCCGCCGGGTGCCCGTGGTGACCCAAGGCAACCAAGTGCAGTCGCTCACCCAAGATGACGGCGTGGCCAAGCTGAGCATCAACACGCCCAACAGCCGGCAGCCCCTCACCATCACGGTGAGTCTGGAAGCCTGGGAGAACTGGCACAAAAGGATCCATTGGCTATTTACAGTGTCATGGAGCTGAAGTCCTGGAGTCCAGGCCTTGCAGCAGCCTGTCCCACGGAGGCTGCAGAAAGAAGCTTTATTGTGCCACTTCCCGCTCCAGACGCCCAGCATCTCTTGGCTTGTGGCCTCTTCCTTCCTCTTCAAAGCCATCTTTCTCCTCCTCCTCTATTTCTCTTTCTCCCCTTCCTGTTTCTCCTCTTCTTCTTTTTCTCTTTCTCCTCCTTCAATTTCTACTTCCCTCGCCTGCCCTTTCTCCCCTTCCATTTCTCTTCCTTCTTTTTCTCCTTCTTACTCTTTCCTCTTCCTCCACCTCCTTTTCTTCCTCTTTCTCTTTTTACTCCTCGTCCTCCTCCTCCTCCTTCTCCTCCTCCTCCTCCTCCTTCCTTCTCCTCCTCTTCCTTTTGCTGCTCCTCTTCCAAAAGACCAAAGCATTTGAGGTCCCAAGTCTCAGAGATTCCGACGTGGCATCTTTGTGGGGGACACCAGGCACTTTCTCCTCTTTGCCCACCCAGGTTCGCACAAAGAAGGAGGGGATCCCAGAGGCCCGGCAGGCCAGCAGGACCATGCAGGCCCAGCCCTACAGCACTCTGCACAACTCCAACAACTACTTGCACCTGTCTGTGTCCCGGACAGAGCTCAAGCCTGGCGAGACACTCAATGTCAATTTCCACCTGCGAACAGACGCTGGCCAGGATGCCAAGATCCGATACTACACCTACCTGGTGAGGGGCCCCGCCCCTCCCTTCCAGACCACGCCCAGGACCTCTCCAAGCCCCACCCATGGTCATCCCAGCCACGCCCACTCCCCCACCCCAGGGACGCCTCACCAGCCCTCCTCCCTCTCCCTCTCCTGATTCTCCTGTCCACCCAGATCATGAACAAAGGCAAGCTGTTGAAGGCCGGCCGCCAGGCCAGAGAAGCCGGCCAGGACCTCGTGGTGCTGCCTTTAAGCATCACCTCAGATTTCATTCCTTCCTTCCGCGTGGTGGCCTATTACACGCTGGTGGGCGCCAGCGGCCAGAGGGAGGTCGTGGCCGACTCGGTGTGGGTGGATGTCAAAGACTCGTGTGTGGGCACGGTGAGTACTCCTAAGGATCCCTGAGGGGCTCTCTCTCTCTCTCTCTCTCTCTCCTCCTTCCCTTCCTCCTTCCCCCCTCTTTTCCCTTTCTCCCTCCCTTCCTCCTCTCTCTCCTTTCTTCCTCCCCAGCCTGGACCTCCTAGCCTCACGCCTCCTTCCTCTTCTCCAACCTCCCACAGCTGGTGGTGAAAGGTGGTGGGAAGGATGACCGTCAGCCCCTACCCGGGCAGCAGATGACTCTGAAGATCGAGGGGAACCGTGGGGCCCACGTGGGGCTGGTGGCTGTGGACAAGGGCGTGTACGTGTTGAATAAGAAGAACAAACTGTCCCAGAGCAAGGTGCGTGCATCCTTTGCTGGCTGGTGGAAGACAAGATGGCCGAGGTGAAGGATGGGAGCCCGTGGGGTTGGGATGGGGTGGGGTGCGGCTCCAGGAGGAGCATTCGTGAAGTCCTGGGGTCCTCCCTCAGCATCACCAAAGAACCCTAGATATAAATGTGGGGATGGAAGCCAGGCGCTGGAGGCTCATGCCTGTCATCCTAGCCACTCAGGAGGCTGAGATTTGAGGATCAGGGTTCAAAGCCAGCCTGAGGAGCAAAGTCCTTGAGACTCTCATCTCCAATGAACCATCAGAAAACCGGAAGTGGAGCTGTGGCTCAAAGCGGTAGAGCACCAGAGGGTAAAAGCTCAGAGACAAACGGCACCCAGGCCCTGAGTTCAAACCCCACAACTGACAAAACAAAAAACAAAAAAGAGTGGGGATGGTTGGACAAGGTAGATGAGGCACATTGGCCTCCCGTCTCCCTGGCCCTCTGACAACCTCATCTCTACATGCAGATCTGGGATGTGGTGGAGCGGGCAGACATCGGCTGCACCCCGGGCAGTGGGGCAGACTATGCTGGGGTCTTCAAGGATGCAGGGCTGGTGTTCAAGACCAGCAAAGGGCTGCAGACTGCCCAGAGGGCAGGTAAGGAGGCCACCGCACTGCTGCAGGGAGGCGTAGGGAGGGAGATGCCTCCAGCCCAGACCCTAGGAGCCCTGGGTTCGAGTCCGGCCGCCACCAGTATGTCTAGCGTGTCTTTGCTAACCACATGGGTTCAGTCACAGCTGACCTCAGGGTTGTGGTGGTGAGGACCGCCCCACAGGTGTTGTGTCCATCTTCTCCCTCAGAACCAGAGTGCCCAAAGCCAGCCACTCGCCGCCGCCGCTCTGTGCAGCTCATGGAGAAACGGATGGACAAAGGTGGGGATTTCCCCCCCAACCCGTCCCCCAGCCTGCCCCCCTACCCTACCCCAGCCTGGACTTGGAGAATCCAGATGGAAGAGGAGAGGGCTGACCCAGGGAAGTTCTGCCTGGAGTCTGACCTGCCACTTTCTCGTTGTTGTTTGGTTTTTGATGGGGGAGGGGACACCCTGGCTGAGACTCTTTCGGGGTCTGTGCTTCCACAGCCGGTCAGTACAAGAGCAAGGAGCTTCGGAAGTGTTGCGAGGACGGCATGAGAGACAACCCCATGAGGTTCTCCTGTCAGCGCCGGGCAACCTTCATCTCCCAGGGAGAGGCCTGCGTGAAGGCCTTCCTGGACTGTTGTACCTACCTGGCCAAGATGCGGGAGCAGCTCAAGCGAAACAACCTGCTGGGCCTGGCCAGGAGTGAGTCACCCTTGGGGAGAGGGAGTACAGAGAGGGGGGGTGGGGAGGAGGTCCTGTCCAGGTCCCAGGGAGGACATACCTGGTACAGGCTTCTGCCTGAGGTTGAAGAGTACGACTGTCTGCTGGGTAAGTACCCCTACCAGTGTAAGCACAGACTCTGTATGGGGAAGGGAGGGTGCAGAAGGACCTGGACCTAGTGCTGGCATCTAGAGTGGGGTGCATACCTGAGGGAAGGAGGAAGGAAGGAGAGAAGAAAGGAAGGGAAGGAGAGACCAGACATAAAAGTGATTCTCAAGTCAATTTTTTTTTTTCTGCCAGAGCTGGCCTTAAACCTTCATCCTCTCATCCCCAGCCTCCCAAGTAACTAGATCCACAGGCCTGAGCCACAGGCTTGGGCACCCTCTCCAGGGGCAAATTTGAGCTGGGCATCGGTGGCTCAAGCCTGTCATCCTAGCTACTCAGGCTGAGATCTGAGGATTGAGGTTCAAAGCCAACCCGGGCAGGAAAGACTTTTATCTGCAATTAACCACTCAGGAAACCGGAAGTGGCGCTGTGGCTCGAGTAGTAGAGCGCTCACCTTGAGCTGAAGAGCTGAGGGACAGCTCCCAGGCCCAGAGTTCAGGCCCAACCAACAAAAATAAAAAAGGGGGGGGGGACAAATTTGGAAAGATGTCTTTCATAAAGAGGAAAATGAGACTACATTTTGATTTCCTGGGATACAGTTTTAGAGCCACGTGGGTGTTTGTGTGTCCCCCCAAAAGTGCATAATTTTCCTTAGTGTCAATTGGAGGTCAAAGAATAGTTTCAGCGTTGCTACTCAAAGGTACTCGACTGGATTTTATTCCACAACATGAATAGATTTAGGCACCTATGGAATTCCACTTCCTTGGTTGTTATGGAGACCAAGTCAAATTAAATTCTGGCCAGTATGTTTCAGGAGACCCAGCCAGCGCTGATCCTTAGTCCCTGTGTTTGCTGATGATCAAACTGGTTTCTATTTTACTTTAATTTTTTTTCAATACTGGGGTTTGAACTCCTGGCCTTACGCTTGTTAGGCCGACACTCTATTATGGAAGCCACCCCCCCCACACACAATGTGAGACACATCATTGATTCTTTTTGTTTGGAGCGGGGGAGGTCCGGTCGTGGGGCCTGAACTCTGGGCCTGGGCGCTGTCCCTCAGCTCTTCAGCTCAAGGCTAGCACTCTACCCCTTGAGCCACAGTGCCACTTCTGGCTTTTTTCTTTTTGCTTATGTGGTGCTGAGGAATTGAACCCAGGGCCTCATGCATGCAAGGCAAGTGCTGCCCTTGATTCTCACACAGAGCCCTCACTGAGTGAGCTCAAGCCAGGCCTCTATGGTGTAGCCTCGCCCCTTAGCCTTAGAGCCATGCCCCCAACCCAAAATGGTGGGTGTTGAAAAGCACAATGCTTTGGTAAACTATCATTGAAGAAGCGCGCGCGCGCGCGCACACACACACACACACACACACACACACACACACACACGGCCTGGGTGTGTCCCCCTTCCCTGAGGGAAATAATTCTCTTTCCACCTCAGGTATCCTGGATGAGGACATAATCCCAGAAGAAGACATCATTTCCAGAACCCATTTTCCAGAGAGCTGGCTATGGATCATAGAGGAGTTAAAGGAGCCAGAGAAAAATGGGTATGGCTGGGGTACCCCTGATCCACTTAATTTGCTCACACGTGCAAATTCCTATGTCTTAGCCTAGCCCAGCCTAGAAACCCAGGAGCTGGGCTACCTACACACACACACACACACACACACACACACACACACACACACACACACACACACACACACACACACACACACACACACACACACACACACACACACACACACACACACAGCCCTGGCCATTCAACCAGTCTCAGGTTCCCCCTCCACCCTGCTAGATGCTCTCCATAACGGCCTGACCTCTCTTCCCCACCCTAGAATCTCCACGAACGTCATGAACATCTATCTGAAAGACACCATCACCACTTGGGAGATACTGGCTGTGAGCTTGTCTGACAAGAAAGGTAAGGCAACAACCCAGGCACTGCCAGTATTTTCTCGTCTCATCCAAAGGAATCATGTGGGCTAATTTGCAACAACTTACACTCAATTCCCTGGATACGATCCCAAAAGAAAACTAAATCGTAGGGATGAACGGTGCTTAAAAAAAAAAAAAAAAGGTGACAGCTGGGCACTGGTGGCTCACACCTGTAATAGTATTCAGGAGGCTGAGATCTGAGAATTGTGGTTCAAAGCCAGCCCCAGAAGGAGACTCTTATCTCCAATGAAGTTCTCAAGAAAAAGCCAGCAATGGCACAGTGGCTCAGTGGTAGAGGGCTAGCCTTGAGCCAAAGATCAGGGACAGAGCTCAAGCCCAAAGTTCAAGCCCCAGGACTGCCAACAAACCAACCAACGAACAAAACAACAACAACCAAAAACCCTTTCAAGGCTGGATGATGTCCACAGGAGAGATGACAAAGCAATTAGGAAATCATGAAAGAGGAACTGGAGAAAATGTGGGATTGTAACACGGATGGTCACATGGTGAAAGTCACAAAGAGGACAAATCGTGTTGCCTTCCTGTGCACCTGTGGCCTAGGGCCAACAGACCTATGGCAGGCCAGTGAGCCCTCCCCCCCACCCCCCATCAGCCAGGCCCCGCCCTCATCCCTCATCAGCCAGGCCCCTTCCATCCTGGTCAACTAAGGATGTTTGTGCCTGGCCTGGAGCCAGGGGGAAGAAGAGGGAAGAACTATACTCATACATAAAATTTAAAAGCATGCTGATTCATTAATTGATCAAAATTTTTAGTGCAGTATTTCAAATTGTAAAAAAAAAAAAAAATTTTTAAATCCACGATGAAGACAATACTCAAAATGTAAATAGAAGCCAGGCGCTTGTGACTCACCCCTGTAATGCTAGCTATCCAGGAGGCTGAGAGCTGAGGATTGTGGTTCAGAGCCAGCCCAGGCAGGGAAGGCTGTGAGATTCTTTTTTTGTTTGTTTGTTTGTTTTGTTTTGGGTCTGGTCATTGGGCCAGAACACTGGGCCTGGGCGCTGTCCCTCAGCTCTTCAGCTCAAGGCTAGTGCTCTACCACTTGAGCCACAGAGCCACTTCTGGCTTTTGTCTTTTTGCTTATGTGGTGCTGAGGAATCGAACTCAGGACCTCAGGCATGCAAGGCAAGCGCTCTACCAATGAGCCACCTTCCCAGCCCAAGGATGTGAAATTCTTATCTCCAATGAATCTCCAAAAAGCCACAAGTGGAACTGTGGCTCAAGTGGTAGTGCTGGCTTTGAGCACAAAAGCTCATGGACAGTGCCCAGGCCCTGAGTTCAAGCTCCATTACCGGCAAACACTCAGGCGAAACTGAGTTAGATTAGATCAATGTCAATAAAATAAAGAAAGAGGCCAGTTAGCATTGCGACGGCCCTCTATTTCCACCAATGGGAGAGAAATGCCCTCTCCCCCCATCACCTTCCTCCATGTAGAATGGATGCTGTTTGGTCTGTGTTTAGTCTGGGCTTTTTGCACAGATGGCTAGGGACAGTCACAGTGGTGCTGAAAGGAAAAGAACTTGACAACCCTGGGGCCTGGCTTGGCCACCCCGCCCCTCTCCCTTACCTGACGCCTGGGGTTCCTGTTTCTGTGTGGCCAGGCATCTGCGTGGCTGACCCCTACGAGGTGACCGTGATGCAGGACTTCTTCATTGACCTCCGGCTGCCCTACTCGGTGGTGAGGAACGAGCAGGTGGAGATCCGAGCGGTCCTCTTCAACTACCGGGATCAACCCCTCAAGGTGGGTGCTGGAAAGGTCCGGGTGGGAGGGGAACGGAGGGCTGGTCCTCCGCATGCGTAGCTGGTCTCACCTCTCACTCCTCCTGGCAGGCGAGGGTGGAATTACTCCACAACCCGGCCTTCTGCAGCCTGGCCACCGCCAAGAAGCGCTACTACCAGACTGTGGAGATCCCGGCCAAGTCCTCGGTGCCCATCCCCTATATCCTGGTACCCTTGAAGATCGGCCTGCAGGAGGTAGAGGTCAAGGCGGCAGTCTACAACTACTTCATCAGTGACGGTGTCAAGAAGACCCTGAAGGTCGTGGTGAGTTCATGTCTGGTCTCCAGCATGGAGACCCCAAGTTCTGAGACATCGCCATAAAATCATGATATCCAGCTCAGAAAAATTGTCCCCGAGTTCCAGAAACCCAGAAGCAGAGCCAGGATTATTTGGATAAGGGAGGTCCCAGGGATACATTAAAATTTTTTGGGGGGGCTGGGAAGGTGGCTCAGTGGTAGAGCGCTTGCCTTGCATGCTCAAGGCCCTGGGTTCGATTCCTCAGCACCACATAAACAAAAAGAAAAAAGCTGGAAGTGGCGCTGTGGCTCAAGTGGTAGAGCGCTAGTCTTGAGCTGAAGAGCTGAGGGACAGCACCCAGACCCAGAGTTCAGGCCCCACAACCGGACCCAAAAAAAAAAAATTTGGGGGGGGGGGGGGAGGAGGGAGTACTAAAAAAAGGTCAGCTATGGAGATCACATTTTTAGCCAAGTGTGGTGGTGCATGCCTGTAATTCCAGTTACTGAGAAGGCAGGCAGAGATAGACAGGATTGACATTTGAGGCAAAAAAAAAAAAAAAGCGAGGCCTCATCATCTCAAACAAAACAAATCTGGGGTATAAATAGGAAGATCATAATTCAGACTGGCTAAGATATAAAAGCACAATTTTCCCTTATTGAAAAAAAAAAGAAAAGCATGAAGGTCTGGGGTGGGAACCTCAGTGGTCAAGTGTTTGCTAATCGTGTGCAAACATACACACACATACCCTACATGGAGTGCCACACGTATTTCCTTTAGCCTCAGGCGCTGACACAACGCAGTAAGATGTGAAGAGATTTTTATTATTTCATTATGCATTTGTAATTTCGTGATGAATAGCCACAAGAGAAGCCTAAGGCACTCTTGGTACTGCTTCCTCCTGAGTACTGTCCCTGAGCTTTTTTTCTTTTACTTAAGGCTGGTGCTTTACCACTTGAGCCACAGCTCCACTTACAGGTGAATGATGGGAGATTACAGTCTCCTGGACATTCCTGCCTGGGCTGGCCTTGAGCTATGATCCTCAGATCTCAGCCTTCTGAGTAGATAGGATGACAGGCGTGAGCTACCAGCATCCAGCTGCCTTCTCAACTGAAGCCCAGATAGGTTAAGTAATGGGCCCTCTGTCACACAGCTAGATGTAGGGAGACACATTGTTTAGCTAGAGTCAGCCTCAGAACAAGCTCTCTGCTGACGGTTTCTTCATGTGTCTGTTTGTCTTTTGATTCACTCAACTCCTCTCCATCTGAAAAGCCGGAAGGAATCAGAGTCAACAAAACAGTGGCTGTGAAAACACTAGACCCAGAACACCTTGGCCAAGGTAAGGCAAATGGCCATGGGTGGGGGAAGGGAGATGCAGAGGAGGGAGTGGGAAGGGCTGGTGTCACCGCTCCACTCCCCCCCTGCAGGTGGAATCCAGAGAGAGGAGGTGCCACCTGCAGACCTCAGTGACCAAGTTCCAGGGACCGATTCTGAGACCAGCATTCTCCTACAAGGTGACGTACCCCTAGACCCAGCCATCATGCTGGAGTGGTAGAACCACAGTGCTGCCCTCCTCCAATTCACCCCCAGTAATGAGACCTTCATGGGTATCTTTTATAAATGTCTCCTTGGTTCCGTTCAGCAAAGAACTTCTGCTGATAAATAAGTGTAATGAGGCCGAGCGCTGGTGCTTACACCTGTAATCCTAGCTACTTACTCAGGGGCTGAAGATCGTGGTTCAAAGCCAGCCAAGCAGGAAAGGCCATTGAGTCTCCAATTTACCAACCAAAACACCAGAAGTGAAGCTGTGGCTCAAGTGGTAGAACCCTTAACCTTGAGCAATAAAGCCAAGTGCACAAGGCCTTGAATTCAAACCCCAGTACACACACACACACACACACACACACACACACACACACACACACACACACAGAGCCGGCCAGAAAATCAGCAAATCATTGGCCTAGATGGAAGAAGATGGGGGTGTGGGGGGGACAAGAAGAGGTCCTTCTACCTGAGAGCTATGAGGCTCTAGGACAAGAGCCTGGTGACTGTGGCAGTTAAATGAGATACTATATTCTGCTCTTCTAGAACCAAAAGTTAAACACAATATTAATATTCATGACTCGTAGTCACTTTGCTTCTGGTGAGAATGGACATCGTTGGGGAGGGTGCCCCTGTATATGACGTACCAGCCTCCTTGGCCTACATGCTCACCCCCATCCCCACCCCAGTCATCTCCCAGCTGCTACCTGTCCCTGGGCTGCTGACCCAGCCCCGGCCTGAAGCTTCATCCTCATTACCGCCAGCCCCGGCTCATCTGAGCAGTGTCCTCCGTCCTTGGCTGTAGGGACCCCAGTGGCGCAGATGACAGAGGATGCCGTGGATGGGGAACGGCTGAAGCACCTGATCATCACCCCCTCGGGCTGCGGCGAACAGAACATGATCGGCATGACACCCACCGTCATCGCCGTGCACTACCTGGACCAGACCAATCAATGGGACAAGTTCGGCCTGGAGAAGCGGCAGGAGGCGCTGGAGCTCATTAAGAAGGGTGGGTGTCCCTCACCCCTGGAGTGGGGCCTCAGGCTCCTCTGAGGCTGAGGCCATTTCTGAGGCTGAGGCCACGCCCCTGCTTGAGACACCCACCACCTCCCATCTTAATGCCACGCCCATCTTTCCAAGGCTCCACCCCGGCACCAGAGGCCACGCCCTCAATCTACGGCCACACCCCCTGTCCAAAGCCCCACCCCTCCTGTGAAAGTTTCTGGCCCAAGATTCTGCTCCTGCACCCAAGGATACGCCCCCTCCACCCGAGGACACGCCCTTCTACCAAAACACCCTCTTGTCCAGACTCCACCCCTGCACCTGAGGCCACGCCTTTCCACTCAAATCCCCGCCCCTCTTCCAATAGCTCCACCCTTCCTCTGTCTGATTCCGCCCCCTGCACACAGGGCCACGCCCCTGCGCCCAAGGCTCCACCCCTGCTGTCCAGGTTCTCTGCCCTACTTCACCCCTCCCTACAATGCTACACCCTTCCTTCCTACACCTCTTCACTTCTAGAAACTTCTGCCCTCCTCTGATTCTGCCACTGATTCTCCCCAAATTCTCCTCCCTGAGCCAGTCCCTCCCAACCCCAGCCCCCACGTTGAATAGTATCCTGTGCTCTCCAAGCCCCTCCCCTCATCATGGTGGGGCCTCTCCCCTATTATGCCGCCCCACATCTCTCTGGGCACTCCCCTCTGATTCGTATTCGGTTTCTCTCCCTTAAGGAAGCCTTTTTCCTCTGAGATCTCCTCTGTCCCAGACAGGCCCCAACCCTCTCCTCCCTGGCAACTGCCCCCTGCCTGCCCTGCCCAGCTCCTTTGTTGACCTTCTTGTTTCCCCGGCAGGGTACACCCAACAGCTGGCCTTCAAACAACCCAGCATGGCCTACGCCGCCTTCCTGAACCGGGCACCCAGCACCTGGTGAGTGGACAGTCAACTTGCAGGGCCTCGCCTCGCAACTCGCCTCAACAACAGCTGAATCCTGGCCAACCTGACCCAAACAGCCCGGTGCAACCCAGTCCTGGACCCCTCTGCCCACCTCAAAGGCTAGCTGGGTGACCGGTGGGCTGACAAGCATCATTAAACACCTGCTTAACCCAACTCAGAAAGGCCAACTGAGATGCCCTGGTCAGGCCCCGCCCCCTCTCCGCTCAATGGCTGGCTGGGCTGCCAGTCTCTGGATCTCAGCGCTGATTGGTTCACGTTCTCCTCCACAGGCTGACAGCCTACGTGGTGAAGGTCTTCTCCTTGGCGGCCAACCTCATCGCCATCGACTCCCAGGTGCTCTGTGGGGCGGTGAAATGGCTGATCCTGGAGAAGCAGAAGCCCGACGGCATCTTCCAAGAAGATGGGCCCGTGATCCACCAAGAAATGATTGTGAGGGGCCTGCATTGGAGCGGGATGCGGGAGGCAGGGCAGAGAACAAGAGGAGGAGGGGCTGCCCTAGTCACCTGGTGGAGGGAGAGAGGGGCGGGGACGTAAATGCCACTCAAAAGTCGTTCGCCTGCAGAGCCACTGTGAGACGGAAGCTTGTGAGAATCTGATTTAAAAAAACAAACAAACTTCATCTCCACAAGTTCAGGAATGAGTCAACAGTTGGTCTTAAGATAGACTTCGTGTAAAAGGCTTCTGCACAGCTCGAAGCTGGTGGTACCCTGGGCACATTCAAAGTAGATGTTGTGTTTGGTAGGTTAGCGGGTGTTGAGTATATTTTATTTTATCTTGCATGGCCACTTGATCCGTATCTCCAGTCCTTTGGCTTTTAGTTTGTTTCTCAGAGAAGGTCTCCTGGTTTATTTTGCCCATCCCAGCCTCAGTCTTTCATTCTCCTACTACTACCGAGCCTGGCTTGTTTTCTTCGAGATAAAGTCTTACTAACTTGATCCTCCTATCTCTACCTCTTAAGTAAGCAGGGATTATAGGGATACGTCACCATGCCCCACCCTGAAATGCATTTTTACTTAATTTCCCTTTGTGGTGGGCTCATCAGGATCCATCAGGTCTGTTCTGCTCCATCAGGAGCCAAGGAGAGAGCAGCTGGTTGGCTTGAGGGGTCAGTGTCAGCGTTGTGTTCACCACTGTGTCCAAGCCTGGGTGAAGTGGGGGCTTCCTTCCACCGACTTCCCAGGGTGAAAACAGAACTTAATGAATCCACACCGTAGAGGATAACCTTGCTGAGGGAGGAGAGTCCCAGGGGGAGTGGAGGCCGGGCCACGCCCAGGTCCCCTGATTGGGCAGGCAGTTTAATGGCCACCTATCCTCACACGCTGCTCTCTGCCACCCCCCCCCCCCTTCCCAACCCAGGGCGGCTACCGGAATGCCAAGGAGGCTGAAGTGGCCCTCACAGCCTTCGTTCTCATCGCACTGCAAGAGGCAAAAGATATTTGTGAAGGGCAGGTCAACGTAAGTGCCCTCTCCCCACCCCCACGGCGGGGTGTGTGTGTGTGGGGGGGGGTAATCTTCCTTGGAAGTGGGGGGGGAGTGTTGCCGCACATTCCTGTGCTCCAAGGCTCTGAGTTCTCTTCTAAGTTGAGCTGCTGGGTTCAATGAGTGGATGCATGACAGGCTCAAAGTGTGTGCAAGCCCGGGAGAGGGGGAAAAGGAGGAAGAGGAGAAGGAGAGAAAGGAAAAGGAAAAAAGGAGGAGAAGAAAGAGGAAGAAGATGAGGAGGGAAAGAAAAGGGAAGGAGGAAGGAGAAAAGAGGAAGAGGAGAAGGAGGAAGAGGAAGAGCAGGGCCACCACGTGTCCAGATTGAAGAGCTTTGTTGTTGTTGTTGTTGGTGGTGGTGGTGGTGGTGTCATCATGGGACTTGAACTCAGGGCCCAGGCGCTGTCCCTGAGCCTTTTTGCTCAAGGCTAGAACCTTTAACACTTTGAGACACAGCACTACTTCCAGCTTTTTGCTGGTAATTAGTGATTAGAGTCTCACAGACTTTCCTGCCTGGGCTGGCTTTGACTCCTGATCCTCAGATCTCAGCCTCCTGAGTAGTTAGGATTACAGGCGTGAGCTACCAGTGCCCAGCTTTTCCCACCCTCTTGTTACACACTTGTGGGCATGCTGCTGGATGTTGTACAGGTGCAGGGTTGGTGCAAGCAGCGATGTCTGCCTGATGGGCATTTCTCTCACAGAGCCTAGGGGGCAGCATCACGAAAGCAGGGGACTTCCTCCAGAACAGCTACCTGAACCTCCAGAGGCCCTACACCGTGGCCATCGCCGGCTATGCCCTGGCACTGCTGGACAAGCTGGAGGGTGCCACCCTCAACAAGTTTCTGGGCACCGCCAAAGGTGAGAGGTGGGGGTTGGTCAAAAGCGGGTTGATGGGGGGCATGGCTGGGGTTTCAGGGCGATCTCCCCGAGCCAGCCTGCAGGCTCCTAGCTGAGCAGTTGGATGGATGACCCCAGGCTGAGCTGGGATGGTGGCCATAGTTATTGATCATTCCTTCCATACCCCTTGATTCCATACCCTCCTGTGTGTGTGTGTGTCCGATGGAGGAGGAAAGTTTGCCCAGGGTTTGCAAGTCAGTACCGATTGATCGATCAATCCGTTGGGGATACCAGGAGGCCTGGCTGAGCCATCCTCAGGTTCACGGGCACTGAGCTGGAGCGGGGCTGGGGTGTCGCCCCCTCTCTCTAGAACGAAATCGCTGGGAAGAACCTGGACATCAGCTGTACAACGTGGAGGCCACGTCCTATGCCCTCCTGGCCCTGCTGGCCCTGGAAGATTTTGACTATGTGCCCCCTGTTGCACGCTGGCTCAATGAGCAGAGATATTATGGCGGTGGCTACGGCTCCACCCAGGCATGTGAAACAAAGGGACCCACCCAGACTGGGGGGGGGGCTCTTCTACCCATCTAGGGGGAGGGGGAGAGGGGCTGAGCAAGCCACAGGGGGGAGGGGGAGCTCTATACTCTGTCCTGGGCACCTCTTGCTCCTTCCTGGTACCCCCATACCATCTTTTCAGGACCCAGGTCCACAGCCCTGAGAAGGTTCTGGAAGGAAGGTCTCCCCTCTCCCCCGTGGGGGCTTCTAGGCCATGTTCTTCATCCTACCAGGCTCTCCCTCTTCCCCTGCCTCACTGGAGGGTTTTAGGTTCCATTCTCGGTCCCACCAGCTCCCCTCTCTCCCTGTGCCTTGAAGACTATGGTGTCAGCAGCTTCCTCCCAGTGGACACTCAATCTTGTCTCTGCTATCCGAAGGGGGTACATGGGGCTTGAACTCAAGGTCTCATGTTCCTACCTTTATTTTATTTTGGCGCCAGTTTTGGGGCTTGAATTCAAGGCCTGGGCACTGTCCCTGAGCTCTTTTACTCAAGGCTAGTTCTCTACCACTTGAGCCACCGCTCCACTTCTGGTTTTCTGGTAGTTCATTGGAGATAAGAGTCTCTTGGGGACTTTCCCGCCCTGGTTGGCCTTGAACAGCCATCCTCAGATCTCAGCCTCCTGAGTAGCTGGGATTACAGGTGTGAGCCACTATACTTGGCTATGACCTCCAAACTTACTTTTCCCCTGTGATGGGTCAAGGCCACAGGCAAATGGTCAGCAAGCTCTAGTTGGGGTCTCTCTCAGTCAGAGCTCTGGGACATGTAGTCCGTGTCCAACGCCTCCATCTTACCTCCCTCCTTCTGCTAGGTTGCTTGGTCCAGGTTAAAGCCAAGTCTTTTCTCTTGGTACCTCCCAAGTTCCCAGACCCTCATCCACCTTCTTCATGGATTTTTAGGCCACTTTCATGGTGTTCCAAGCCTTGGCCCAATATCAAACAGTTGTCCCTGACCACAAGGATTTGAATATGGAAGTGGCAATCAACCTGCCCAGCCGGAGTAACCCTGTAGTTCACCGCCTTCTGTGGGAATATGGTGGCCTCCTGCGGTCAGATCAGGTACAGCCACCCGGGTCACACCCTCTCCATCCTCTCCCTCCCCCTCCCACCAGCCAGGGGGGGATGGGCAGATGCCCACCAAGGTCATCAGAGTCAGCGAAGGCCCCGGCTGCCCCTCAACCCAGCTTCTCTCTCCACAGACTAAGCAAAACGAGGGCTTCTCCTTAACAGCCAAAGGAAAAGGCCAAGGCACCCTGTCGGTAAGGACAGGGAGGGAGGCGGGAGGGGCGGGAGGGGGGTGGGGACGGGGAGGGGGGGGCATACCTGCCTGTCCCATCATCTTCTCTTCGCCTCTTTACCCCGTGCTCAGTCATCCCAAGTCCAACAGGATTTTGTGTCCCCTGCTGTCTTGCCAGGTGGTGACCATGTACCATGCCAAAGCCAAAGCCAAAGCCACCTGCAAGAAATTTGACCTGAGGGCAACCATCAGGCCAGCCCCTGACACAGGTAATAGGAATAAGAGCCCTTCCAGCTAGCCACCTGCCTGTGTCCCGATGCTCATGGGCACCACATGCTGAATCAGGGCCCAAGAAAACCTTCTGTCCTTCTTGTCTTCTGTCTTTCTAGCCAAGAAGCCCCAAGAAGCCAAGAGAACCATGATCCTTGACATCTGTACCAGGTAAGATGCTGGGCTAGTGGACTTCCAACAAGATTTCCTCTTTACTTTCTTTCCTTTCTTGGGGGGGTCGGGGGAGGGAAAGGTAGCACAGTGGTGGGAATTGAACCCTAGCCCATGTTGGCAAGTGCTCTGCCTCTGAGCCACAGCCCCTAAACCATCTTAATGATGCATAGAAAAATTGCATTCCGTTCTTTAAAATATTCTGTCACAGTGTTAGACCAGTTGTAAAGATTTAGGAACAATTGGAGGTGTGGCTGAGGAGAAGCGCATGTGCTTAGCATGCACAAAGAAGTTTCTGGAAAATGGAGGGGGTGATTTGATCATGTGGTCATTAAGAATAAAAGTGGATTTGCTTTGGATTCTTTTGTTCAGTGTCCAACACAGTGGAGAAGGTTCTGTGAATAGAACTGACAATAGGGAGGGAGATATTTCCTATTCATGGAGATCGGCAAGTTTCATGAAAGCTTAATCAGAGCCAGGCAGTGGTGGCTCACACCTGTAATCCTAGCTACTCAGGAGGCTGAGATCTGAGGATTGCAGTTCAAAGCCAGCTCAGGCAGGAAAGTCCATGAAACTCTTATCTCCAAGGAACTACCAGAAAGCCAAGTGGTAGTTCAAGTGGTAGAGTGCTAGCCTTGAGCAAAAAAGAGTTTGGGGAAAAAAAAAAAAAAAAGGTTGAATCAGCTTAGAGTTTCCCAGGTCATGAAATTCACCAAGAGACCCTTGCACTGGAAGCTGATGCCCCTGGCATTGCCCCTACAGGATGTCTTTCTCTTTATCTGGTACCTTCACTGACTTCATGCACTTCATGTGTGACATCTACTTTGTGTAACCCCACATGTCTACTTGAAGTTCACTGCTTCACCTCTTTGCAGCCTGTTCATCTCTGTTGGTCAGGTATCTTTCAGTGATCCACCTCTGTGTAGGCTGATCACAGGAAGAGAAGGCAACACAGCTATACACTTTGCTGTCTGTGTGTGGCTTCCATAATGGATGCCCAGTGGTCAATCAAGGAGGAGCGCTGTGATTGGCCATTGACTGTGATGCTCATCTGCTATTTGCATAGCAATATAATTGGTCAATGGCTATGAAGCTCATCTGCTATTTGCATAGCGATGTGATTGGTCACTGATGGAGATCTTATCTTCCATTTACATAGTGATCTGTGTTGACTATAGCTAAGCAACACAACTTGTATGGTGTATGATTCCAATGACTATACTGGGGTACCAAAATTTAAACCATGTCATTGGGGTCCCATGGCATTTCACTGACTCATATCCTGGACTCCTACAGAGTAAGGACTTCCTGTATTTCTGTCTTCATTTCTGAAAGAACACAGGCACAGAGGGTCAGATAGCACATCCAGCATTACACAGAGCTGGGCACTGTTGTTTTGGGGGGCAGTGTACTGGGGATGGAACCCAGGCTCTTGTACTTGCCAGGCAAGCATTCTCCCACTAGCCCCACCACCAGCCCTGTAGCAGGGATTTGAACTTCTGAAGTTGAATGCAGTGTGAAATCTCCTGAACTCTGACCATTATACAGCAGATGCTATTTTCCCATCTTGAGGAATGGAGGATTCCTCTCTGATCATTGGCTGGGAATCAGCCCCTCACCAGATGACCCCCCCAGGTGCAGAACCTGAGGTTGGCCCTACCCTAGGACCCCAATCCCTTCTCTTTGACCTGCCCAGGTACCTGGGGGAAGAGGATGCCACTATGTCCATTCTGGATATATCCATGCTGACCGGCTTCGCCCCTGACATAGATGACCTTGAACTGGTATGAGGGCTTGGAAGGCTGGGGAAAAGGTCTGGAATCTTAAGAATGGAGGGTCAAGGAGAAATGTCTGACAAGCCTCACCCTTTCCCAGCTGAGCACTGGCGTGGACAGATACATCTCCAAGTACGAACTGAGCAAAGCCTTCTCAAACAAGAACACGCTCATTATCTACCTGGACAAGGTAAAGCCGCATTCTTCCTCCTCTGCGCCTCCCCCCACCCCTGGGGGCTCCTATGGGCACTCTGACCCTTATCTGGCTGGACTTTTCTTCTCCTTTAGTCTCTATCTCCAAGGTCAGGCTAACCTAGATCAAGAAGACAGGACCCGTGCTGTTGGGTGTAAAACAAGATGATCAACCCAGGATTGCTTTTTTGATGGTACTGGAGTTTGAATTTAGGGCCTTAACACTTCCTAAACCTAAGCCATACCTATAACTCTTTTTTTCATTATTTTTCAGATAAGTTCTTAATTTGTTTTGTTTTGGCCCAGGCCTGGACTTTGATCCTCCTATCTACAACCTCTCCTAGAGTTGGTATTATATATTTGTACCACCATATCAGGCTTCTTGGTTGAGATTGGAGGTTTTGCTAACTTCTTCCTTTTTTTTGCCCAGGCTGGCCTCAAACTGCAATCCTTCCAGTCTCTGTCTCTTAGGTATCTGGGGTTACAGGTGTGAGCCACAGCACTGGTCCCTGCGATTGCTTTCTACATCTTCTCATGACTGATTGATGTCCCAACCTCAAGTTCTACTTTCACCCTCTACTGCTTGCCAGGGTTTTGTACAACCTTTGAGAAAAAGCCACTTCATTTACCAAAAGTGTTTAGTTGAGCCAGGTGTGGTAATGGCTCATGCCTATGATCCTAGCTATTCAGGAGACTGAGAGCTGAGGATTAGGTTAGAAGCCAGCCTGACACGGGTGGCTCAGGCCTGTAATCCTAGATATTCAAGAGGCTGAGATCTGAGGATCAAGGTTCAAAGCCAGCTGCGGCAAGAAAGTCCATGAGACTCTTATCTCCAATAAACCACTAGAAAACTGGAAGTGGTGCTGTGACTTAAGTGGTAGAGCACTTGCCTTGAGCTGAAGAGCTGAGGGACAGCGCCCAGGCCCAGAGTTCAAGCCTCATGACCCACAAAAAAAAAAAAAAAGTCCATGAGACTCTTTTCTCCAATTAACCACAAAAATTTGGCAGTGGAGCTGTGGCTCACGTAGTACAACACTAGCCTTAGCAAAAAGAAAAAAAAAGCTCTGAGATAGCTGCCAGGCACTGAGTTCAAGCCACAGGAATGGCTGACACACCAGAATAAACTGTTACCAAGTAAAGGGTTTCGTGATGACATTTCCATACCTATGTATTATGTGCTTTGAGCTGTTTCTCTAAAGAGTTCTTATCCCGCCTCTTCCACATCTCTAATAGTTCCCCTCCTACTTTGATGAGTTGTCTTTATCTCACCCAAGATCCATCCTTCCTTTACCTACCTTCCTTCCTTCCTGGTACTACTGGGGTTTAAACTCAAAACTTTGCATTTGGCTGGGTGCTGGAGGCTCATGCCTATAATCCTAGCTCCTCAGGAGGCTGAGATCTGAGAATCACAGTTCAAAGCCAGTCCGGGCAGGAAAGTCCATGAGACTCTTATCTCCAATAAAAACCACTAGAAAACCAGAAGTGGCACTGTGGCTCAAGTGGTAGAGTGCTTGCCTTGAGCTGAAGAGCTGAGGGTCAGCGCTCAGGCCCAGAGTTCAAGCCCCACGACCAGAAAAAACAATCAAAAAAATACCCCTAAAAACCAAAACTTTGCCTTTGCTGGTCAGTGCTCCAGGGCTTGAGCCAGGCCTCCAGCCCCGCCTTTTTTGACTCTGGTTCTTGAGAGATGGGTCTCACTTTTTTTGCGCAGGCCAGCTGGACTATAGTCCTATTTTTCGTAACCCACCATAGCTGGGAAGACAGGTGGGCATGACCTATGACCTCCCCACCCCTCAGTTTTCTCCAGCACTGCTCCAGGGGTCAGCACCCAGAGTGGAGCCCCCTCCCCCCAAGCTCCCCATGACCATCTCTCCTCCCCTCAGATCTCACACACTGAGGAACAATGTCTGTCCTTTAAAGTCCACCAGCATTTCAATGTGGGACTCATCCAGCCTGGCTCCATCAAGGTCTACTCCTACTACAACCTGGGTGAGTGGCTGTGCAAGACCCGGGAGTCTCTGGGTCCTGGGGTTCTGAGGAATCCAAGGATCCCAGGTGATGTGGGGGGATAAAAGTTTGGGGGACCTGAAGTTGGGAGTTCTGGGGGCTTCTGAGAGTCTTAGAATCTTGAGGTGGGGGCGTTAGGGTCCTTGAGCTCTGAAAGTTGGGGTTCCCAGCATCCTCGGAATCTGTTAGCAGACTAGGGGCCACAGAGGTTGAACAAAGTGGAGGAGAAGGTCCCAAAGTCTGAGGGATGATGAGGAAGTTGGGGATCAATGGGCCTCAAGGATCTGAGGCCTGGGATACCTAGCATGTCCAGGTGTAAGGCACGCACCCTGGTGTGGGAGCCTGCCAGCCTGGGGCCTGGGCCGGGAGACCCTCTCACTCCTCCTCACCGTGCTCCCCAGAGGAGTCCTGCACACGCTTCTACCACCCGGAGAAGGAGGACGGGATGCTGAGCAAGCTCTGCCACCGGGATATATGCCGCTGTGCCGAGGGTGGGTGCCCTGGGGACCCCCGTGGAGTGGGGGGGGGGCTGCACAAGGAGGAAGAGCCCCAGGAACCAATCATACCTCGGGCAGTGAGCCCCAGCTGAGCTCATCTCTGCCCCGCCCACAGAGAACTGCTTCATGCACCAGGCGGACGGGAAGGTCACCCTCGATGAGCGGCTGGACAAGGCCTGCGAGCCCGGGGTGGACTACGGTGAGGGGGGCTGGCGGATGTGAGCTGTGGGGTGGCAGAGGGCATGTGTCATGTTAGCATAATGGTGAAGGATTGTTTCTGGGGGCAATGGTGATTGTGGCTGGCTTCTGGCTGTACAGCTGTGGTTGTGACCGTGTGGGTGACTATGTGAGCTACTGTGCTGAGTGGTGAGTGTGTGAGATAGTGGTCCCGGGGAACTGGGGACAGGAGTAGCTAGAACTGTGTCCAGCTGTAGTGCGTGGCTCTGGTGGTGCGTGCAGGTGTGTGCGCATCAGGGCTGCCAGTGACAGGGAAAATGGGTGTGTGGGTGTGCCTGGCTGTAGCCGCATACCATCTTAGCTGTCCAGGACAGTGCCAGTGGGTGTGAGGCACTGACCTCGTGTCTCTGACTGTACTTGTGGGTAGCAGAAACTGGGTGCATGCTCTGGGTGTCACCGTGCGTGGGCGCTGACTGGGTGATCTCCCGGGAGGAGGGGAGGGTGGACCGTAAGGTGACTGGCTGCAACCTCTCACGGCCCTGCGTGGGGATGAGGAAGCCCCAGGTCCCCCCGCGGGTGAGGTTGTCCCCATGGTAACCGGGACGTCCTGCCCTCCTCTCCACACCCCCCCACCGCAGTGTACAAGACCAAGGTGGTCGCCATCGATCTGTCGGATGACTTCGACGAATACATGATGCTCATCGAGCAGGTCATCAAGTCAGGTCAGCTCTGTGCCCTCCACCTCTCCCCTGCCCCACTCCCCACGTGTCCCTGAGGCTCACCCACCCTCTCCCTCACTCCAGGTTCCGACGAAGTGCAGGCCGGACAGGAGCGCAGGTTCATCAGCCACATCAAGTGCAGGGAGGCCTTGAAGATACAGAAAGGGAAGCACTACCTCATGTGGGGTCTCTCCTCCGACCTCTGGGGGGAAAAGCCCAAGTGAGTGTCTGCTCTGCCATGTGCACGCGTGTGCCAGCCCTTCCACTTGTCTTAGCCTGGCCCTCAGGAAGCCACGCCCTCCCGGAGGCCACGCCCACCAGACCCATCCCATCCGCAAACCCCGCCCCGAGAGCCACGCCCCCTCCGTGCCCCGCCCACTGAGCCCCTTCCATTCATAAAGTATGTCCATAGAGGCCACGCCCCTCTGATTGTTCCTCTCGCCCTGCCCCCAGCACCAGCTACATCATCGGGAAGGACACGTGGGTGGAGCTGTGGCCCGAAGCCGAGGAATGCCAGGATGAAGAGAACCAGAAACAGTGCCAGGACCTGGGTGCCTTCACCGAGAACATGGTGGTCTTCGGCTGCCCCAACTGATCACCCCTGCAACCCCCCCAATAAAGCTTTGTTTATCTATGTTCGAAAGTCTGGAGTTGTGTGTGTGTGCATGTGTGTGTGTGTGTGCACACGCATGTGCGCACCAGCCCTGGGCCTCTAGGTGCTGTCCCTGAGCTTTTGTGCTCAAGTCTAGCCCTCTATCACTCCACTTCTGGTTTTGTGGTGGTTCATTGGACATTAGAGTCTTAACAGACTTTCCTGCTCTCTAGCTGGCTTCTAACCACGATCCTCAGATTTCAACCTCCTGAGTAGCTGGGATTACAAGCGTGAGCTACCTTGCATTCCTTTTTTTTTTGTCCGTTGTGTGGCTTGGATGCTGTCAGGGCCTGGATGCTGTCTCTGAGCTCTCTTGATCAAGGCTAGTGCTCTAGCATTTTGAGGCCCAGCACGACTTCCAATTTTCTGGTGATTCATTGGAGATAAGAGTCTCAGAGACTTTCCTGCCCAGGTTGGCTTTGAACCATGGTCATCAGATCTCAGCCTCCCAGAAGCTGGAATCACAGACCTGAGCCACTGGGGCCTGGCTCTTTCCTTGTATTCTTATTTCAGTCTTCACCTGTACCCTCTCAAGATTTCCTTGGGGTTCCTAGCAGCACACTCACCCACAATGTCAGCTTCATACACAGTGGTTCTGACAACACAGTCCTCTGCGCACATGCGTGTGCACACACATGTGCACACACATGTGCACACACACACACACACACCTCCTGGCTTACCACACTCCTACACCTCAGGGTCTTCAAACATCTGACCTTACCTGGTCTCCTAGGCCATGAGTCCCCTCATCCACTCCACCAACTCCTAGCTCCATTCCCTGTCTTACTTGCCTGTGGTGGGTGCTGCTCCAGCTCCCTCCACCCACCTAGCCCCACTTTGTCCCCAAAGTGCTCAGGGTGAATGTGGCTCCAGGCTGGGCCTGACTGGGGTGGGTGGTGGTGATAATGGTGGTAGTGGTGGTGGTGGTGCTTCAGGCTGCAGCCTCAGAGTGCAGAAAACAGTAGTTGGGGAGGGAATGAAGTGGTGTGGTGTTCGTGGCTTTGGGGGGGCGGCCAGCATCTCTAGCACAGCATGGGAGGTGCTGATGCTAAAGAGGGGCTGCCCCCGTGTCTCTTCTCATGGTCCCTCGGAAACTGGAAGGGTGAGAGTTGAGGGTGGAATCATGGGTGAGGTCATGGGAACTCCTCCCCGCTCAACTGAGTGTCGCTGCTGCTTCACAGCCCCTGCCTCTTAGACTCCCAAGTCCCAGAATATGGGGACATTAAATCACAGCCCCCCCCCCAACAAATGCCAAAGGCTCTGGTCAATATATGTTCCAGGAGGCTTGTGATGCTGTGTGCTGTGAGTACCCTGTCCGAACCCCCCCCCCCCCCCGCCACTCACTGCCTGTAGCACACATTCTGACTTGAGGACCTGATATCTAAAAGCCTCTCTCTGTCACCCTCTGTGTCATTTCTGTCTCTTTCTCTAGCTCTCCCTTTCTTTCAATGTCTCTGTCTCTCTTGGTCTCTCTGTCTCTGGCACACAATATCCCTTTGTCTCTGTGTGTCTCTTTTTTTCTCTTTTGATTGGTCGTGGGGCTTGAACTCTGGGCCTGGGCGCTGTTCCTCAGCTCTTCAGCTCAAGATGAGCGCTCTACCGCTTGAGCCACAGCGCCACTTCCAGTTTTCTGGTGGTTTATTGGAGATAAGAGTCTCATGGACTTTCCTGCTCCAGCTGGCTTTGAACTGTGATCCTCAGATCTCAGCCTCCTGAGTAGCTAGGATGACAGGCGTGAGCCACCGGTGCCCAGCTCATCTCTGTCTCTCTCTCTATCAATCCCCAATTTGTCTCCACCCCTGCCTCTCTTTCTTCTCTCACTCCATCTTCTGTCTTTGTCCTCCTGCTTTCTCTATTCCTTTCATCTCTCCCTCGGTCTCTGTGTGTCTCGTGCTTTGCCTTATAGTGGTTTTCTCTCCAGTTTTCTTGTTTGATATTTTTGTTTGGTGGTTGTTTGGTTTTGAGACAGGGTCTCCCTATGTAACTCAGGCTAGCCTTGAACCCTGATCTTCCTACTGTACCTCTCAAGTAGCCGGGATTACAGGTGAGTGCTTATCTGTCTGTCTGTCTCCTGTTGGACCTATGTTCTCGTAACCCCTGATCCAGGTGGTCTTAATGCCCACACTGAGGAGAAGGGCTCAGGTCAAGAAACAGATGCGTGGGGGCTGACCTCAGGACTCCCAGGAGATGCCAGGGACAGAGCAGCGGCTCTGAGGCTGTCAAAGCCTCGAGGGTGGGGATGGGGGCACCCAGTAATGATTCTCAGCTCAGTGGACAGTACTCAGGGAACAGTTGGGCTTTAAGGACGACGGGGTAAAATTGAGGGCAGGAGGGAGGTCCTTATAAAGCCAGGGCAGTCCGGCACTGGTGGCTCACACCCGTAATCTTAGCTACTCAGGAGGCTAAGTGCTGAGGATCAAGACTCAAAGCCAGGCCAGGCAGAGACTCTTGTCTCCAATGAACTACCTGAAAATCAGAAGTGGCGCTGTGGCTCAAGTGGTAGAACGCTCACCTTGAGCTGAAGAGCTGAGGGACAGCGCCCAGGCCCAGAGTTCAGGCCCCACAACTGACAAAAAAATTAAAATAGAAATAAAGCAAGCCAGGGAAGAGGGGCATCCAGGATGTCATGAGCAAGTGACCCGTCCAACAGGGCACAGACTGGAGGCCAAGCAGGTTAGGTTCGGGGCTGACCCGGAGTTGAGGAGCTCCATCCCTCACTTCCAGCCCGGGCAGTGGCAGCAGGGGAGGACATGCCACATGGGGGCGGTCCCTCAGGTCAGAATTGGGGACAAGGACACAAGAGGATGCCCCCACCTGGGATTCTGAATCTGCCCACATGCCTGTATAGAAAGGAGTGAGAGGGGCTGGGAAGCTGGCTCAGTGGTAGAGTGCTTGCCTTGCATGCCTGAGGCCCTGGGTTCAATTCCTCGGCACCGCATAAGCAGAAAAAGCTGGAAGTGGCGCTGTGACTCAAGTGGTAGAGCGCTAGCCTTGAGCTGAAGAGCTGGGGGATAGCGCCCAGGCCCAGAGTTCAGGCCTCACGACCAATGGGAAAAAAAAGAAAAGAGAGAGAGCCAGGAGGACCCCAGGGCTCACACCTATAATCCCACCTATGCAGGAGGCTCAGATCTGAGGATCGCAATTTAATGCCAGCTGGGGTAGGGAAGTCTATCACACTCTTATCTCCCATCAATCACCAAAAAGCCAGCCTGGAGGTGTGGCTCAAGCGGCAGAGCACCAGCCTCGAGTGAAAAAGTTAAGTGAGAGAGTCCAGGCCCTGAGTTTAAACCCAGTACCGGCATGTGCGTGCATGTGCACATACACATTCACACACACTCACACACACAGAAAGCAAGGATGGGCTTCAGCCCACAGGAGTTAATGTGCCAGTGCTGGTGAGCTCAGCAGGAAGTCACTGGGATATTTTTCACTAGCTGATGATCAGGGCTGACTGACTTAGATGCTTACAAAACTCATACAAGGATGATATGCACGCACCCTGCACACACACATGTGTGTGCACACAGCCACATACACCACACAGCAAGATCTGTGTGCACATGGGTGCACACATGGGTGCATGCGCGTGGTCCCGAGCCTCCTGGCGCATTTCCCACCTCATCTGTAACCTGGGAACACACTCCCAATGTTACCTCACCAGCCCTTCCGACCCAGCGAAGCTCATGGGAGCAGGGATCTGGGCTCATGTTCTCTGCTGTGTGCCCAACCTAGAACAGTGCACAGCCCACACCAGCACCTCACAAAATAACTCTGGCCGGGCACCAAGGGCTCACGACAGTAGTCCTACTGAGACTGAGAACTGAGGATCCTGATTCAAAGCCAGCTTGGGTAAGAAAAGTCCGTGAGACTCTGATCTCCAAAGAGCCACTAAAAAGCCTGAAGTGGTGCTGTGGCTCAAGTGGTAGAGCACAAGCCTTGAGCAAACAAAGCTTAGGGTCAGCATCCGGGCCCTGAGTTCAAGCTCCAGGATAGCACAAAAATAAAGAAGGGAATAAGTTATCCTGGCAAACAAGGGCACTGAGCGGCTGAGCAGAGAAAGCCGGAGGGGCTGGGGGGGAGGGGCTGGGGGGGAGCCCCGTGGGATCCCCACTTGAGTCACATCAACATATTGGAAAGTGTGAGATAACGGAGTGGTGAGCTAGACAGGGGCCGGGTGGGGAGCACAGGAAGAAGGGGAGGGTGCGTGGGGACAGGGGAGGGGCCGAACCCCTGCTCTAAAGCAGGCCGCAGGGCCCAGCCGCCCGTGCAGCCAGCCGAGCTTCAGGCAGGGGTTCGGATCATTGGGCAATTGTGGTTTCCTCCGTGTGCTCAGGCGAGTCTGCCCTGCCCTAACCCAGCCTGGGGCATTCGCTGCCTGGCATGGAAGAGTCAATCCGGCAGCCCTCCGTGTTTGTGATAGATGGACAGACAGACATCCCATTCAGGAGGCTGGGACACCGCGCGGGGAGACGGCGCTGCAGCGCTGCCCAGGGGTGCCTGGCGCTGCTGATGCTGCTCCTGGGCGCCGGGCTGGCAGTCCAAGGCTGGTTTCTACTGCAGCTGCACCGGCACCTGGCAGAAGTGGTCACCCACCTGCCGGTGAGTGGGGCGTGGGGGGGCGGGGAGGGAGGTGGGGGGATGTGGGAAAGAGCTCTCGTGTTCCTGTTTGTCCCTAGGTGTGGCCAGGGCTGTTAATGCACCTACCTCAGTTTTCCCCTGTAAAATGGGAATCACTGTAGAATAGTAAATACATAATACACGGGGAGTGTGGGGTGCCCTGCAATGGCTGGACAAAGCAAGGGTCCAACCAATCAGAAGTGACATTCTGATGTGTCCTTGCTCCTGCCATTGTTGTGTGTGTGTGTGTGTGATTGTGTGTGTGATGAGGCTTAAACTGGGGGCCTGGGCTCTGTCTCTGAGGTTTATTTTTCTCAAGGCTCATGCTCTACCACCTGAGCTACAGCTCCAATCTAGCTTTTAGATGCTTAATTTGGAGATAAGAGTCTCACAGCCTTTGCTGGCTGGCTTTGAACTGCGATCCTCAGATCTCAGCCTCCTGAGGAGCTGGGGTGACAGGTGTGAGCTATCGGCGCCCAGCTCTCCGCCTCTTCCGGCTTTCTGAGTAACTGTTGGTAGTGCTCACTCTAGGCTGTTTCCAACTAGCCATGGATGGGTCTTGCTCCGGGTCACTGTGCCCAGCCCCTGCTCGTGTGGCCTTGCTCTGCACTCTGAGTCTCTGAGTCTCCATGTCCTGTCTCCTTGTGTTGGGATGCAGCGGTCACGTGTCCACGTGAACGTGGGCTGCTGGCCTGAGCCCCGGGCCTCCATTCCTGTGGATGGGAACACACCTGTGCACATGCATGTCCTGGTGTTCCATGTGTGGTCTCCAGGTCTCCCACTATAGACCAATGGATCCATGTGACCACATGTGCCTAGCAAATGGGCATACGTGCCTTAGAAGTGTGTCATTGGGACTGGGAAGGTGGCTCAGTGGTAGAGTGCTTGCCTTGCATGCACGAGGGCCTGGGTGTGATTCCTCAGTACCACATAAGCAGAAAAAGCAGAAGTGGTACTGTGGCTCGAGTAGTAGAGCGCTAGCTTTGAGATGAAGAGCTGAGGGACAGCGTCCAGGCCCAGAGTTCAAGCCCCACGACCGACAAAAAAAAAGCGTCATTAAATGCTCACCTCCAGGTCACTGTCCCTGTGTCCAGCCATGGGACATCTGTGCACTGTGTGTGCATGCTGCTACTGGGGCTTGAACTCAGGGCCTGGGCACTGTTCCCTGAGCTGCTTTTTTTTTTCTTTTGCTCAAGTCTGATGCTCAACCACTTGAACCACAGCTCTACTCCCAAATCTAGGACAGTTCAGATAGGAGACAATCAATTTGTTTTCTGTTGTTTATGTGTTGTTGTTTGAAGAGGGATTTTTTTTTTTTGGCCATACTTAAGCTTTGTACTCAAATCCTTTGAATGTGCTCAACTTGTGGCACTCTGCCACTTGAGCCATGCCTCCAGCCCAGCCTTTTGCTGGTCACCCAGACTTTTCTGCCCAGGCTGCAGAACTGCTGCAGTTCTCTGGATTTCAGCCTCAGTATTTGTTGAAGAAACACCTTCATGGTGTCTGTTCTGAGCCATGTGCTGACACAGGGTTTAGACACAGCCTTCATGAGATCCCAGGCAGGTGCTGCGTGCAATTCTACTTACAGAAGACAAAATGCCTGTAGGGCTAATGGGTGGTGTGCGTGCACGCATGTGTGCATGCATGCGTGCATGCTTGTGTGTACACACGGTCGCGTCTGTGTCTGTGGGCCCAGTCTGGCTTTCTCATGCCTCCTGTGTCTGCCTGGGGCCTGGGTGTGGCCTCACTGTGGATTGTTTCTTGCATTGCAGGATGGAGATCCAGGCTCCTGGGAGAAGCTGGTGCGAGGTGAGTGAGTCCTGCACCCCAGAAAAGAGAGGGATGGTTCTCATGCCAGCCCCCATTGCTCAACGTAATTTGCACAACCTATAGGTGCCCCTCCCCCATGCCTGAGAAGCAGAAGTTTGGGTCACTCCGGAAGGGGTGGGCTTGACCCTCACCCTACTCCCCAAGATACCAAGATGGCAGTGATAACCCCTTAGGAGGCTGACCTTTACCTTTGCCGGCTGCTTCTCACCTTTGATACTCTCTCCACAGAGCAAAGATCCCACCTGGCCAAGCCAGCTGCACATCTTACAGGTGAGGAAGGCAGCGCCAGGGTGTCCTAGGAAGCTCAAGAAGGCGGGCATTCGTTTATCCATCCATTCATTCCTTGCAGTGTTTATTCCCAGAGTTCCCAGAATGCAGACTGGGGGCTCTGAAGGGGGCAGGCAGGGAGCACACCTCTGAGACCTTCAGAGAATGCCGAAGCCATGAGTCAGCTGAACCCGCATCCATTCCTGTGCTTCCCCGCCTACCATGGCTGAATTCCCACGGAGCAACGAATGACTACAATGTCCCACACTGACACAAGAAACTCAGGGTGCACACACCTGTAATCCCAGCTACTCAAGAGGCTGAGATCTGAGGCTTGTGGTTTGAAGCCAGCCTGGGAAGGAAAGTCCATGAGACTCTTATCTCCAACGAACCAGCAAAAAGCTGGAAGTGGAGCTGTGGTTCAAAGTAGTAGAGTTGTAGCCTTGAGCAGAAGAGCTCAGGGACAGTGCCCAGACCCTGAGTTCAAGCCCCATGACTGACAAAAAGAAAAAAAAAACGCTCAGGGACAGTACTCAAGCCATGAGTTCAAACCCTAGGACTGGCACACACACACACACACACACACACACACACACACACACACACGAATGGCACATGTACCCATCAGCTCCTCCTTTATTTCTCTCTTTCCTACCCAGGGGCCAACACCAGCTTGACGGGCAGTGGCGGCCCACTGCTGTGGGAGGCCCAGCTGGGCCTGGCCTTTCTGAGAGGTCTCAGCTACCACAATGGGGCCCTGATGACCCCCAAGGCCGGCTACTATTACGTCTACTCCAAGGTGCAGCTGCGGGGCGTGGGCTGCCCCCAGGGGCTGGCCAGCGGCCTCCCCGTCACCCACGGTCTCTACAAGCGCACACCCCGCTACCCCAGGGAGCTGGAGCTGCTGGTCAGCCGCCGGTCCCCCTGCGCCCGCTCCCCGGGCTTCCGCGTGTGGTGGGACAGCAGCTTCGTGGGCGGCGTGGTGCACCTGGAGGCTGGGGAGGAGGTGGTCGTGCGGGTCCCCGGTGAGCGCCTGGCCCAGCTCTACGACGGCGTCCACTCCTACTTCGGAGCTTTTATGGTGTGAAGGAAATCGAAGCGTTGGTTGGAATGGAAGGGACTCATAGCTGGCCCTGAGGGTGGCAGACTGGGGGGCGGCAGAGGGCTCCACAGGAAGCTCAGCCAGCAGAGATCACCGAGGAGCCCCCTCCTCCTTTCACAACAGCCCCCCCCCAAAAAAACTCTACCAAGACCTCAGCAACCTGAAGGAGTTGAAAACCCAGCAGAACCTTCCAGAAAACCCACACAAGCCACAGACCTCACACAGACAATCCTAAAGACAATGACCTGGAGACTTGTGGTGGGCAGTTCGTAGTCCCTGCCCCCCCCTGCTCTCCCCTCACCCCCGAAATGCTTGGAAGAGCTCATTTGCCTGATATTCAGGCGAAAGTGCTGGATATGTCTGCTTTGACTAGAGAAGCCAGAAGGACGTGGGATTCCAGGATTTGGAGAGTTGGAGAAGGGAAACTGAGTCAGCCTCACTGTGGTCACGGGGGTGGCTAGCTGGAGAGATTTGTCACCAGGGCCTTGCACACCGCCCAGCTACACACAGTCACTATCTCTGTCTTACCCACGCACTCATGTTGGCCAATTCCCATGCTGGGAATACTTCCACCGTGGTGACTTCCAGTTGCCAAGGCAGCGCAGGAGCTGCGTGACACAGTGATGTGGCCACCAGCCTGGCCACTCAGCCTGGGGGAAGAGGGGGGGCAGCATGGAGCAGGGCACTGGGAAGCAGTGGCTCACGCCTGTCATCCCAGCTACTCAGGAGGCCGAGATCTGAGGATCACAGTTCCTAGCCAGCCAGGGCAGGAAAGTCTGTGAGACTCTTATCTCCCAGGAACCACCAGAAAACCGGAAGCAGAGCTGTAGCTCAAGTGGTAGAGCCTTGAGTGAAAAAGTTACGGGACAGCACCCAGGCCCTGAGTTCAAGCCCCAGGACTGGCACCAAAAAAATAAACAAAAAAAATGAAGCCTAGAGCATCCAGGGACTCTGTCTCATTTCCTCAGTCAAACTTTATCACGACTGTGGACGGACAGAGAGACAGACAGACAGACAGACACACACACACACACACACACACACAAACACATGCAATCCCTTCCCAGACCAGACAAGCTCTTGTCTATAGCCTGGGCCCCTTGGCCTCTGCTGACTGAAATAAAGAATAATTATTTATCTTAGCTTGTCCTTGTATTGTTGGGAGAAGACAAGGGTGGTGGAAAGTGGGGTTCAGCATTGCCCCCCCTCAAGGAGCCCTGTGGGAATGGAGACAGAAGTAGGGGCAGAGGGAGTGACCATGGGGGTACATGGTATGGGAGAAGACCTCCATCTCCTTGCAAGGAACCGGACTGGACGCCGTCAGGACATGGTGATGGAGTGAACCAGGGGAGATGGGAGGAAAGCCAGAAAAAGATATGCATTCTAAGGGCTGGGAATGTGGCTCAGTGGTAGAGCGCTTGCCTTGCATGCCTGAGGCCCTGGGTTCGATTCCTCAGCACCACATAAGCAAAAAGAAAAAAGCCGGAAGTGGCACTGTGGCTCAAGTGGTAGAGCGCTAGCCTTGAGCTGAAGAGCTGAGGGACAGCGGGACAGCACCCAGGCCCAGAGTTCAGGCCCATGCCTGGACCCCCCCCCCCTAAAAAAAAAAGCTCAAGGACAGCACTCAGGCCCAGAGTTCAGGCCCCATGAACGGATCCAAAAAAAACAAAAAAAGATATGCATTCTAGCCAAGTGTCAATGGCTCATGCCTGACATCCTAACTACTCGGGAGGCTGAGATCTGAGGATCACAGTTCAAAGCCAGTCTAGGCAGGAAAGCCTCTGTGAGATGCTTATCTCCAGTCACTCACCAGAAAACTAAAAGTGGCACTGTGCATCAAAGTGGTAGAGCGCTAGCCTGGAGCAAGAGAGCTCAGCAACAGTGGCCAGGCCCAGAGCTCAAACCCCTCGACCTGACATCTTATATATTCATTTATCTAATTTGGGGAGGAGGAGGAGAATAGCAAAATGCTGAAACAAGGACACAGGATGACCCATTGCAACAATGACACTCACAAGACACTATGTTGAAAATGAACTTGACAACTTTGGGGGGGGGGGGAAGGGAAGGAATAGTAGAAGAAAAACAAAGGAGGGGGTAACAATGCTCGACAAGAAATGTACTCATTACCTTACTGATGTAACTGGAACCTCTCTGTACAGCATCTTTACAAGAAAATAAAATTGCCAGGCCCTGATGGCTTACGCCTATAATCCTAGCTACTCAGGAGGCTGAGATCTGAGGAATGTGGTTCAAAGCCAGCCTGGGCAGGAAAAGTCTGTGAGACTCTTATCTCCAATAAACCACCAGAAAACCAGAAGTGGCGCTGTGACTCAAGTGGTAGAGCGCTAGCCTTGACTGAAGAGCTGAGGGACAGCGCCCAGGCCCTGAGTTCAAGCCCCATGACTGACAAAAAAGAAAAGAAAGAAAGAAAGAAAAAGGTACATTCAAATCCAAGGATTTATGCAAATGAGCACACGCAAATTAGTGTGGGTGTGTGCATGCAAATGAAGGGTGCTGATGGCTGGAAAGGACTGCTTTCTAGGATCTGAATTGGAGGGGCAGTTCATCTCCCAGGTTAATTGTAAAGAGAAATCAGAGCCAGTGTGGAAATAACGTTGGTGGCACCTGATACAGTCAGAGCTCAATAAACAAAGGCGTGTCTAAGAGATGCACACACATTCAGGAGGACCCACATTTTGTGTTTTGTTTCTTATTTTCTGTGCCTGACCTGAACTAAGGGCCTGAGCACTATCCCTGAGCTTTTTAGTTTATAGTTAGCCCTGTACCACTCGAGCCATAGCTCCACTTGTGGCTTTTTGCTGATTAATTGGAGTTAAGAATCTCATGGCCTTTCCTGCCTCGCCTGGCTTCAAATTGTGATTTTCAGATCTCAGCCTCCTGAGTAGCTAAGATTACAAGCATGACCCTCTGGTGCCCAGCTAACATTTTGGGTTTGGATTTTATTGTATTTGTTTTTGTTTTAGATAAGGTCTCTCTATGTTACCTCGGCTGGTCTTGAACCTGTAAGCTGGAGTGACTCTTCTGCTTTAGCCTTGCAAGTTAGCTGGGACTATAAGTGTATGCTACTGCACTAGCTACTATCTATACATGTGTACCTAATCCCTGGACAGACGCTATGCCCTCACCTACAGAATCTGTGACTAGAGACCCTCCTTCTACCCCAGAGCTCACAGTGAGCAGGGGAAGGAATTTTCCTCCCCCCTTGTCTTTGCTGGGCTGGAGGGAAGTGACAGCACCAACCCCCACTGGAGTTTCCTCTCTGCTCATCATCATGGTCTTTCTGTTTCCGTGGCTTTGATGAGGAGATGAAGGTGTCAGGGACAGTGAATTTATAAAAGCCGCCACCATCAACCACCAACTTCCGCCTGAGGCTGGAACCAGAACTTTCTCTGAGAGGGGTTTTGCAGCCCTGGGGGGGAAAGAAGAAGAGGAGGTAGGTGAGGAAGGGAAGGGTGAAGGGCGGGGAGGAGGAAATGGAGAAAGGGAGGAGGAAAGGAGAGGAGGAGGGGAGGGAGACAAGGGGACCCCAGCAGGGACAGAAGCTGGAGGCTCAGGAAGCTCCTGGTCCAGGCCACTGCCCCACATCTCTATTTCTGAGACGTTAATGTGCTTCGTGTCCTTTTTCACATGCTGGGCTCCACCATCAATCAACCCACAGGTCATGAGGAGAGCAGGCAGGAAGCTCTCTCGATTCTCTTTATCACCAGCCAAGACCCAAGAAAACACGTGACCAATGTCACCTGCTCTATCCTGCCACAGCCTTGAGAAGCAAGGGTGCAGAGAAACAGGGCCACTCTTACGCTGCAGCATGGGGCCTGAGTTCAGATCCCTGCTCTGCCACTTCCCAGCTGAGCGCCCCTGGGCTCCAATCCAGGCTTCCTTGGGCCTCAGTTTCCCCTTCTGTGAGATTAAACAATCTAAATCTTAGGAGCCTTAGGAAGAGCTCTTTAATCTTTAGTTGATATTCTTTTGTAAGTATGATTATTTCCTCCCCCTCCTCCTCCTTCTTCTTCTTCTTCTTTTTCTTCTTCTTCTGTCAGAGGTTGGGCTTGAACTCAGGGCCTGGCATTGTCCCTGAGCTCTTTTTTTTTTTTGCTGGTCATGGGGCCTGAACTCTGGGCCTGGGCGCTGTCCCTCAGCTCTCAACTCAAGGCGAGCGCTCTACCACTTGAGCTACAGCGCCACTTCCATAATGTTTTTTTAAATCGCCGAGGTTCTGAGTGCTCTATATAGTTTTGTTTTGTTTTTTTTTGTCGGTCGTGGGGCTTGAACTCTGGGCCTGGGCGCTGTCCCTCAGCTCTTCAACTCAAGGCTAGCGCTCTACCACTTGAGCTACAGCGCCACTTCCTCCACCTCCAGCTTTTTGAGGGTTGATTGGAGGTAAGAGTCTCAAGGACTTTCCTGTCCCGGCTGGCTTTGAAGCCTGAGCCTCAGATCCTCAGCCTCCTGAGTAGCTGGGATTACAGGCGTGAGCCACCAGCACCCAACAACTTGGTGTATTTTGGACATGGGAATTAGTAGTCAAAGTTTAAACTTGAGAACATTTTGACATTGACAAATCCAGATTTCTGGCTGTTTTTTGTTGTTGGCAGTGCTGAGATTCGAACTGGGGACCTCTCACTTACCAGGCAGATGGATACTCTCCCACTTGAACTATGCCACCAGTCCATTCAGTTTTAGTTTGTTTCCCAGACACAACTTCACACTTTTGCTCTGGCTGAGCTCCGCTACAATCCCCCTACGTCCTCCCCACCAAGTAGCCTGGACTACAGGCATTCACTACCTCCCTGGGCATGCTTTTTGAGATAAGGTTTCAATAGCTTTTTGCCTATGGTGGCTTTTGACCACAATCCTCCTGGCTCTACCTCCTAAGAAACGGGAATGATAGTTCTCAGCCAACATGCCCAGCTCCAAATGTCTGAATCTTCTTGGGAAGGTAGGAGCTATGAGAGCAGCCCAGGCCGGGCAGGGGCTGTTCCCCATGGATGGGCCAGGCTCTTCAGCTACCCAGGACCTCACCACTCCAGCTGTCTTCCACTGGGGCTGTGTGTGAAACACCTTTCCTCCTCATGCATGTGCTGTGCATTTTGTTCAGATAATGAATGTCATGAATCATTTCACATGGCCAGAGAACTTTCCAGAAGGTTCTAGAGCCTGGGGTGCTCCTTCTGGCCACTCCTTCAGTTCTTACCAAGACCCTGTGCAAGGGAGGAGGTGGGGGAGGGGGAGGGGAGGGGAGGGAGAGGCAATGGTATTGTATTTTATTTTTTTTGCCAGTCCTGGGGCTTGAACTCAGGGCCTGAGCACTGTTCCTGAGCCTCTCTGTGCTCAAGACTAGAACTCCACCATTTGAGCCACAGTACCACTTCCGGCTTTTTCTGATTATGTGGTATTGAGGAATTGAACCCAGGGCTTCATGCATACTAGGTGAGCAATCTACTACTAAGCCACCTTCCCAGCCCCACCAATGGTATTTTAATCTTTCTTTTTTTCGGATGGGCAAATGTCTCTTCGCTTTTGGCAAACTCAAGCTCCAATAAACCCACCATGAGTTGAAAATAAATAAGTCAAAAATGTATTCAATGAGAGGAGTGTGGTAGCTCACACCTGTAATCCCAGCTATTTGGGAGGTAGAGCTGGAGGAAGATCACAGTTCAAGGCCAGGCCTAGCTTCCCACTCACCAAAAAGAAATAAAAATAGCAAGAACTTCATCCCAACCAAAAAGTTGGGCATGGT